AAAGTGGTGAGAATGAACATTCTTGTCTCGTTCCTGCCCTTAGAGGAAATGATTTCAGCTTTTCACCATTGAGTATGATATTAGCTGTGGGTTTGTTATATATGACCTTTATTATGTTGAGGTGTATTCCCTCTATGCCCACATTCTGGAGAGTTTATCATAAATGGGTGTTGAACTTTGTCAAAAGCTTTTTCTATTGAGATGATGATCTGTTTTTTTTTTTTTTTCTTTGGTGGTACATGGGCCTCTCACTGCTGCGGCCTCTTCCGTTGCGGAGCACAGGCTCCGGACGTGCAGGCTCAGCGGCCATGGCTCACAGGCCCAGCCGCTCCACAGCATGTGGGATCCTCCCAGACCGCGGCACGAACCAGTGTCCCCTGCATCAGCAGGTGGACTCTCAACCACTGCGCCACCAGGGAAGCCTGATCATTTGGTTTTTATTCTTCAGTTTATTAATGTGGTGTATCACAATGATAGATTTGCAAATACTGAAAAATCCTTGCATCCCTGGGATAAATCCCACTTGATCATGTTGTGTATGATCCTTTTAATGTATTGTTGGATTTGGTTTGCTAATATTTTGTTGAGGATTTTTCTATGTTCATCATTGATATTGACCTGTAATTTGTGTGTGTGTGTGTGTGTGTGTGTGTGTGGTATCTTTGTCTGGTTTTTGGCATCAGGGTGATGGTGGCCTCATAGAATAAGTTTGGGAGTGTTCCTTCCTCTGCAATTTTTTGGAATAGTTTCAGAAGAATAGGTGTTAACTCTTCTCTAAATGTTTGATAGAAGTCACCTGTAAAGCCATCTGGGCCTGAACTTTTGTTTGCTGGAAGATTTTAATCACAGTTTTAATTTCATTACTTGTGATTGGTCTGTTCATATTTTCTATTTCCTCCTGGTTCAGTCTTGGAAGTTTGTACCTTTCTAAGAATTTGTCCGTTTCTTCTAGGTTGTCCATTTTATTGGCATATAGTTGCTTGTAATAGCCTCTTATGATCCTATGTATTTCTGTGTTGTCAATTGTAACTTCTTTATTTCTAATTTTATTGATTTGAGCCCTCTCCCTTTTTTTCCTTGATGAGTTTGGCAAAAGGTTTATCAATTTTGTTTATCTTTTCAAAGAGTCAGCTTCTACTTTCATCAATCTTTTCTATTGTTTTCTGCATCTCTATTTCATTTATTTCTGCTCTGATCTTTATTATTTCTTTCCTTCTACTAACTTTGGGTTTTGTTTGTTCTTCCTTCTCTAATTGCTATAGGTGTAAGGTTAGGTTGTTTATTTGAGATTTTTCTTGTTTCCTCAGTTAAGACTATCACTATAATCTTTCCTCTTAGTACTGCTTTTGCTGCATCCCACAGGTTTTGGATCATCGAGTTTTTGCTTTCAGTGGTCTCTAGGAGTTTTATTATTTCCTCTTTGATTTCTTCAGCGATCCCTTGGGTGTTTAGTAACATATTGTTTAACCTCCACATTTTTGTGTTTTTTTTTCCTTGTAATTGATTTCTAATCTCATAGCATTGTGGTCAGAAAAGATGCTTGATATGATTTCAATTTTCTTAAATTTACTGAGGCTTGCTTTGTGGCCCAGCATGTGATATGTCCTGAAGAATGTTCCATGTGCACTTGAGAAGAATGTGTAGTCTGCTGCTTTTGGATAGAATGCTCTATAAATATCAATTAAGTCCATCTGATCTAATGTGTCATTTAAGGCCTGTGTTTCCTTATTGATTTTTCTCTGGATGATCTGTCCATTGATGTAAGTGGGGTGTTAAAGTCCCCCACTATTACTGTGTTACTGTCAATTTCTCCTTTTATGGCTGTTAGCATTTGCCTTATATATTGAGGTGCTCCTATGTTGGGTGCATATATATTTACAATTGTTATATCTTCTTCTTGGATTAATCCCTTGATCATTATGTAGTGTCCTTCTTTTCCTCTGGTAATGGTCTTTATTTTAAAGTCTATTTTGTCTGATATGAGTATTGCTACTCCAACTTTCTTTTGATTTCCATTTGCATGGAATACCTTTTTCCATCCTCTAACTTTCAGTCTGTATGTGTCCCTAAATCTGAAGTGGGTCTCTTATAGACAGCTTATATATGGGTCTTATTTTGTATCCAGTCAGCCAGTCTATGTCTTTTGGTTGGAGCATTTAACCCATTTACATTTTAAGGTAGTTATCAATATTATGTTCTTATTGCCATCTTGTCAGTTGTTTTGGATTTGTTTTTGTAGGTCTTTATTCTTCCCTTCATTTTTTGGTTCCCTTCTCTTGTGATTTGATGACTATCTTTAGAGTTGTATTTGGATTGCTTTTTCTTTTGTGTGTGTTTATCCATTGCAGATTTTTGGTTTTCAGTTACCATGAGGTTTTGATATAGCTGTCTATATATAGACAAGATCGAAATTAAGAGACCAGCAACTTAAAACAAATGCATTTCCAATATCCTGCATTTGTACTCTCCTCTCCTTCTCATGATTGCTCATTTTGACATCTTATTTGTGTGTGGATGATTTCCTACCTTTACTGTGTTTTTGCCTTTACCAGCAAGCTTTCCCATTCGTAATTTTCCTGTTTCTAGTTGTTGCCTTTTCTTTTCTGCCTAGAGAAGTTCCTTTAGCATTTGTTGTAAAGCTGGTTTGGTGGTGCGGAATTCTCTTAGCTTTTGCTTGTCTGTAAAGCTTTTGATTTTTCCGTCAAATCTGAATGAGAGCCTTGCTGGGTAGAGTATTCTTGGTTGTAGTTTTTTTCCCTTTCATCACTAAGTATATCATGCCACTCCCTTCTGGCCTGCAGAGTTTCTGTTGAAAGATCAGCTGATAACCTTGTGGGGATTCCCTTATATGTTATTTGTTGCTTTTCCCTTGTTGCTTTTAATATTTTTTCTTTGTCATTAATTTTTGTCACTTTGATTAGTATGTGTCTCAGCGTGTTCCTCCTTGGGATTATCCTGTATGGGACTCTCTGCACTTCCTGGACTTGAGTGTTTCCTTTCCTACGTTAGGGAAGTTTTAGGCTATAATCTCTTCAAATAATTTCTCAGGCCCTTTCTCTCTCTCTTCTCCTTCTGGTACCCCTATAATGTGAATGTTGGTGCATTTAATGTTGTCCCAGAGGTCTCGTGGACTGTCCTCATTTCTTTTCATTCTTCTTTCTTTATTCTGTTCCACAGCAGTGATTTCCACCAATCTGTCTTCCATCTCACTTATTCTTCTGCCTCATTTATTCTGCTAGCAATTCCTTCTAGTGTATTTTTCCTTTCAGTTATTGTACTGTTCATCTCTGTTTGTTAGTTCTTTAAAGGTTCCAGCTCTTTATTAAACATTTTTTTGTATCCTCTCAGTCTATGCCTCCATTGTTATTCCAAGATCTTGGATCATCTTTACTATCATTACTCTGAATTCTTTTTTGGGTAGATTGTCTATCTCCATTTCACTTAGTTCTTCTGGGTTTTATCTTATTCCTTCATCTGGAACGTATTTCTCTGCCATCTCATTTTGTCTAACATTTCGTGTTTGTGGTCTCCGTTCCTCAGGCTACAAGATTGTAATTCGTAGTTCTAGTGTCTGCTCCCTGGTGGGTGAGGTTGGTCCAGGGACTTGTGTAGGCTTCCTGGTGGGAGGAACTGGTGCATGTCCACTGGTGGGTAGAGCTGGGTCTTGTCCCTGTTGTGGGCAGGACCATGTCAAGGTGTGTGTTTAGAGGTGGCTGTGAGCTCAGTACAACTTTAGGCACCCTGTCTGCTGATGGATGGCGCCAGGTCTTGGTGCCAAAATGGCAGCCTCTGGGAGAGCTCATGCCAATGAGTGTTCTCTGGGGTGTCTGCCATCAGTGTCCTTGCCCCCATAGTGACCATAGCCTTTTCCCTGCAGGAGACTCTCCAAGACCAGCAGGTAGGTCTGGCTCAAGCTCATATGAAATCAGTGTATTGCCCTGGGTCCCAGTGCAGGTGAAACCTTGTGTGCACCCTCCAAGAATGGAGTCTCTGTTTCCCCCAGTCCTGTGGAGCGCCTGCACTCAAGCCCTGCTGGCCTTCAAAGCCAAATGCTCTGGTGGCTCATTCTCCTGATGCCAGACCCCCAGGCTGGGAGCCCGATGTGGGGCTCAGAACTCTCACTCCTGTGGGAGAACCTCTGCAATATACTTTTGCAGTCTGTGGGTCGCCCACCCAGTGGGTGTGGGATTAAATTATATTGCAAAAGCGCACCTCCTACCGTCTCATTGTGGCTTCTTCTTTGTCTTTGGGTGAAGAATATCTTTTTTGGTAGGTTCAAGTCTTTTTTGTTGATGGTTGTTCAGCAGTTAGTTGGGATTTTGGTGTTTTTGTGAGAGGAGGTGAGCTCAAGTCCTTCCTCTCTGCCATCTTGTCTCTCATCCCAGAATAGCCTTTTGTTTAAATTTTACTTTCCTAACTTCCATATGTCAAGGCTTCACACTTTATTGGGAGCTTACAAAGATATGTTTTTAAAGAGTACCTTTATCATGGATGAAAGAAAAGTGTCTTTTTACTACTCCAGAGAGGCCTAAGAACATTTTGCTGGGCACTTGAATTCTAATTTCTCTTGATTAATAAATATCATTTGACTCTTCCAGGTGATATTTATTTCCTAAAATGCATGGCTGAGTTGGAAATGGACAACACAGTTACTAGTGTCCCTTCCAAATTAAAAATTAATATGATTTTGTGCAAAACACCTTTCTGAAAGTAACATTTATTGAGTGCTTACCATGTGCCAAGAGGGCATGTTGAGTATCCTATTTAATCCTCAGATAATTTCAAGCTATTATTATCCCCATTTTACAGATGATGAAATGGGAAAATAGGATAAATAACTTGCCCAGGGTCACTGAGCTAGTAAATATCAGTCCAGGATTCTAACCCAGTCCATCTCATTCTCAAGTGCCCGTTCAAGACATCTACCTTCTTGCAGAGATATAGATTATGATTTTGTTACGGTCAAGGGGCTTATGTCCATTTTTTTCTTTGTCTTTCAGGAGATACAATATTCATCATTCTGAGGAAGCAGAAGCTGATCTTCCTGCACTGGTACCACCACATCACTGTGCTCCTGTACTCCTGGTACTCCTACAAGGACATGGTTGCCGGGGGTGGTTGGTTCATGACTATGAACTATGGCGTGCACTCCGTGATGTACTCTTACTATGCCTTGCGAGCAGCGGGTTTCCGAGTCTCCCGGAAGTTTGCCATGTTCATCACCTTGTCCCAGATCACTCAGATGCTGATGGGCTGTGTCGTTAACTACCTGGTCTTCCACTGGATGCAGCATGACCAGTGTCACTCTCACTTTCAGAACATCTTCTGGTCCTCACTCATGTACCTCAGCTATCTTGTGCTCTTCTGCCACTTCTTCTTTGAGGCCTACATTGGCAAGATGAGGAAAACAACGAAGGCTGACTAGTGTCGGAACTGAGGAGGAAGCCATAGCTCAGGGTCATCAAGAAAAATAATAGACAAAAGAAAATGGCACAAGGAATCACATATGGTGCAGCTAAAACAAAACAAGACATGAGAAAACACACAACCCAAAGCAGCTTAGGGATAATTAGGTTGAGTTAACCCAGTAAGTTTATGATCCTTTTTGGGTGAGGACTCACTGAGTACACCTCCATCTCAAAGGACTGCTGCTGGAAGACCCCATTCCCTCTTTATCTGTCAACTCTAGGACAAATGAGAACAAAAGTGGGCCAGAGGCAGAGAGAGAGAAAGAGAAGGCAAACAAAAGCTATTAAGAGTATATGAAAAAAAAAAATGTATTTACTAAGTGTTATATTTCTCTAAGGATCAAAGAAGTTTACTTAAAAGACTGTGCGAACCCATACACACAATCCTTTCTAATCTTTTTTGACACTAAACTGGAGCCAACAGAAAAGATAAAAATGGAAGAGACACAGGGTGTCTATCTAGAACAATAATGCTTTTGCAAAAATGAAAGCCTTTTTAAGAAAGGTTGGCAGTTGTAGCCCCCATGAGAAAAGATGTCTTAATCACCTCCTGAGAAAATGGATATAAACAACTATATTTCAACTAAGAGAAAGGCTCGTTTCCCTTCATCGCACAGCCTCAGTCTAGTGAGTTTGCCAAAACCAAACGGGGCACAATATTTTTCCAGGGTTCTTCCTGGGAGGAAGGAAGTAATGCAGCCCAGTTCCTAAAAGGGCAGCCCCACCTCAGAGCATTTCTGATATCCCCTAAATGAGGTAGGAAGCATTATCCTTTGTTCTGTTGCCTCAGGCTTTCAAACAGAGGAGTAAATACAGAATAAAAAAGATACAGCTCAATCAAATGATTTGAAAAATCGACTCTCTACTACCTGTAAAAAGGTGGAGCGCTGTACCGTTCTTGAGCTGGGAAAGAGAAAAAGACAGTGGGAAAGGAGAAGATCAATATAATAGACAATAAGTACACCCCTCCCTCGGTGACTTCACACATATTCATAACTTTCAAGTGAAACCCTGTGGTACAGTCCATATTTTCTATATTTTTGTGAATTTCAAACAACCTGCAGGGCTCTTCTTGATCTTGGGTAAACACTGTGTTTCTGCATCATCTGCATTTGCTCCCTGAGGCAATGCAGAGGTGTTTAAAGTGCCCTCTGCTGGTCGAGTGGAGATACTTTGACAAACACACTTCATGGCAAGTTTGGCTGGAACAGTTGACAACAAAGGGCCCCTTATAGACTTATTCTTCAAATTTTAAATGATATAAAATACTCACCATATTTTTGGCCAAATCAGAAGACATTCTTCCCGCTTCAAGTCAGCTTCAGAAATTTTTTTAAAAGGGACTTTTGCTCTGGAACTCAGAAAATCGATTTATTAAGAGCCATATTCTTAAAAAAAAAAAAAGCTAGATAATATAATATCTGTAATATTTCAGTCCTTTTCAAGCCAAATAAATGTGTAAACATTCCTAGTATTTCAAAGAAGCAATTATGTCAAGTTGTTCAATGTGATATAATAGTATTCTCATTGGTTAAGTAGCTTAATGATTAGACAAACTAGATGAAAAAATTAGGGGCCACTACACTGCATAGATTAGACACGCATAACCACACGTATAGGCACACAGATGAGGGGTCCACCGAACTTCAAAGCTCAAATGAATAGAAACACATTTTCTGGCTAGCAGAAAAAGAAGCTGTTGTTTATCTTTCTTGCTTTATTTGAGAGTGTACAGAAAAGGGATTTTTCAAATTATTTTTATATTATTTTAGCTTTAATTGTGCTGTCATTCATGAAACAGAGCTGCTCTGCTTCTCTGTCAGAGATGACAAGGGCTTTCTCAGCATCTCGTTTATGTGTGGAATTGAAAAGAATAAAATTTTATTCCATTCTGTGTGAATGGTCTGAACCATGAACAAAGAATCCGTGCAAACCAAGTCATGACTGACGGGGTGGAGGGCAGGGGCGGGGGGGTATGCAGGGAAGGGAAGCTGTTACACCTGTGTTAAATTATTGTGAACAGTCTATGATGTCTTGACGTTGGTTCATAGATGAATTGATGGAGGAATGTATTATTTTTAGGGCAAAAACTGACACGAGCTGAAAAGATAAGGATCTATTAGTTATAGCAGGACCTAAGATGCAAATAATGTTATTTTGAGCTTTGAAAATACATGATACTGTGCAATAAGCTTTTTTTCTTAGAAAAAAAGCAGAATAATTAAAATGAGGAAAAGGCCAAATAACAGTTGACTTAAGCTCTAACTGGCCCTTCAGTTAAACTCAACTCTGGTTGATTTAATTTAATTATTTAATCCATTGATTTATCAGTGATCCTTTAATGCAGGTTAGAATAAGGAAATGAGCATAGACCTTAAATAGACCCTAAATGATGCTTCCAAAGCACTTTCATCTTGATACAGGTTCATACTTGTGTTCCCTTGTGAGATAATTTAGAATTTTTGTTTACAGATTGAATGTCTAATAAATAGTTTTAAAATTAGGTAAATATATCTAAAGGCATTTCCGATGATTATCATGGGAGGGAAAAAGAAAACACACCTGTAAAAAAAAAATCTAAATTCTGGTATTACAGGTTCAGTATAATGTTTTTAACATCTCAGCTTAACTGCTTAATTATATCAAGATACGAGGCTGGACCACTAGCCCATGGCAAATCTGAAGCCTATCAGAGAACTGACTGCCACACAGAGAATCCTGCTGTCACTTAACATTCCAGAAAAACTTGGGCAGGCAGGTTTTTATAGCTGCCCCACTATGCTGCAATAGATTATCTTTCTATTGAAGATTTTCCACTGCATTCCAATTGCAGTTTGGTCAAAACATTCCTGGATTTAAAAAAAAATTTTTTTAACCAAATCTTCATACATAAATACATGCAATTTGATAAACAAGGTCTGAGCATCAACCCAAGTCTGAGTTTGCAGTGAAAACCTTTCTAGTGAGAAATGCTCTATTCATAGAGCAAGAGGTTTTATCTGCACCTTCTAGTTTTGCTCATGAAAAAAGAGCCACTACTATATTCATATTCAATATCAGGCCAATGTACCAAGTTAAAACCATGTACTGAGGTGATTATTCTAGGTAACTTACTCCCATCCTTCTAACCATACTCCACTATAAAAATGAGGGGGCAGGGACAATACAGCTGTATATGTTGCTGAAGGGGAAAGAAAAAATTGAATACATCCCTCTCACTTCTCTCTACTAATGTAGCTCTGAGTCTAAAACTTTACTGAGTGGGGTTTCTGTAGAACTGAATGGAAGAACACTTCTAGGAGACCCACAGAATTTTTTTTTTTAATCAGACATGGTATCTTTATCATAAGATAAAAATTCACATAAGAATAACAAAGCGCCTGGAGTCAACTACACTGGAGTATAAAGTTCCAGAAGTCTGGCCTGGTTCCCAGACTGCTGGGTTACCTGGGAGAGACAAGCTCAGGTTGCTATCTTTATTATGAGAGAATAGCCTCTCCTCAGACATAACTAAGTCAGCTCCAGCACATTCTGAGGGTTTTGTTTTTTTTTTCCAGTTTGGTCAATGAATGAATCTTTAACACAGTTGTTGGATTGGCCACGTGCTGACTCAAGAGGGCTATTAGGAGAGTGGAGAAGGTCAAATAGACCACCTCCCAGAGTTCAGGAGTGCTTTGAGTTGTGTGTGCATGGTCCATGTCTGTCTCATAGACACTTATTTCCCCAAAAATGTTTCCATCCTGAAAAGTACAATTGTGTGAGAGTTTTATGATGAAAGTTTAGTGGTCCAATCTTTTTGTTTTCGATAATAAATATTTTGCTATCGATTTGGGATGGTGGTAGAGCCTATTTTCGTGCTGTGAGTCATTGTCTCCTGTAGCTTAACTTGTTCTTCTGTCCCTTTTCTATTTGTATACAAGACCCAATTCTTTGTGTCTCAGACCCCTCACCAACCAAAAGAGATTTTGCTAAGAATGCGCCACAGGGTTTGGCCTGTGGGGCGTACTCACTCAAGTGAGAGCTGATAAAGCAATGATACTCTATTTTGTGCTGACAATCAGTGTGAAGTGTTAGGTCCCAGTCTTCCAATGAACCAAAGGCCTCTGTACGCTGGTACGCAATATTTAAGCAAAACAAGCATCAGTGCAGTTATAGTATTTTCTTGAATGCCAGTTATAAACATCCTCGAGTCATGGCAGAACCCATAGCTAAAGAGACCAGTTAGGTACACCTGTGCAGAGCATCCGAGAATCTCCACAACCCTGTTGAATCACCAAGTTACCTGCTTCACCCTCAGACACTCTGAAAAGTCAGGGCTAGCAGAAGGGGGAAAAATAAGCCCCAGATTTCCCTTCCTCCTGAATTACACTTTACAAAAAGGGGGGACTTCCCTGGTAGCACAGTGGTTAAGACTCCGCCTGCCAATGCAGGGGACACGGGTTCGAGCCCTGGTCCGGGAAGATCCCACATGCCGCGGAGCAACTAAGTCAGTGCGCCACAACTACTGAGCCTGTGCGCCTAGAGCCTGTGCTCCACAACAAGAGAAGCCACTGCAATGAGAAGCCCGCGCACCGCAACTAGAGAAAGCCCGCCTACAGCAACAAAGACCCAACACAGCCATAAATAAATAAAAAGTGAAACAAAAGTTATTCTAGCACTAAAGAGATAGACAGTGGGAACACACCCATGGCAGGGTTGAGGGGGATTAGGGAGCTCTTAAGAATGGCATTTTGGTTTTATGTTGAGCAGGCAAAAGTCTTGACATCAGACACACTTCACCGGAAATCCAGACCCCAAACTACATTGTAGTAAACATCTCCTAAAGCAACTGGTTAAATTAAGAAACTGGTCCCATAAATCAGGGTCAAGCCATATCTGCAACACATTTAAGCCAGGATTGCAAGGTCCTGACTCATGTTGGTATTGAAACGCTGTTATTTTCCCAATGCTTGGCGGCACTGGGGACTTTTCTCCCCAGTGGGCAGAATCTAGAATTCTCCAGAAGTAGCCCCATAAGGCTGCCCAAGCCTGTCCGATTCAGGCAGGTCTGCTCTCTTGGCGTGTTCAGGCAGGAGGTTGCTTGCTGCAACCTTGAAAAACACTGGAAGATTCAGCCTCTTGGAGGCCCCAGCGCCTCTGTTCAGATAAAAGCCCGCCCATATAAGCCTCACAGAGCAAATCACAGCAATGCTGGAATTGTTATTTTCAAGTGCTTATTTCACGACATTAAAAGAAATATTTTTTTCTGGTATATTAAAAATAAAATCATAACTTTTGATGAAAACGAAACTATGTTTCTGGCTTCTTTTCTCTCTTGTCTGGGCGATTCAAAGGGGGCGTCCAGGACACTAAGGGCTACTCAAAAATCTCACAAAGCCCATCCCACATTTGACTCCAATGTGTTCACGAAACACAGGTGAGTCCCTAAAACTCCTCAGTTCTCGAGCATAGCCCAGGAATGATGTGGTCCCCGGATACTGCTGATCAAAACCCCACAGGTGTCTAGTGCGCCCATGGTGTGTCATGGGTGTAACACTTCACATGTTCTCCAGACCTGAGGGCGCATCAGAGCAGTCCTCATGGGGCACATAGTCCAAGTTGGATCCCCATTTTACCGCTGAGGAAAATTTGTTCGTTAGATCAAATGTCACAGAAGTAGAAGGAACGAGATGTGAACGTAATCTCCTTAAATCCAATTTCACTGTAGCCATTCAAATTTTTTGAGAAGAAGTAGAGTATAAATGAATGAAATTCTGATGCTCAGCACTGAACTAGGAAGCACTTTGCCATGTCACTGGACAAAGTGTTTCAGGACAAAATGTGTGATGGGGCAAACAGGAAGCACAGCACCTCCCTCCTAGGAGGGCCCAGTACGTCACACACCTGCTGGCTACTAGCAAGGGGAATGCAGCCATCTACTCCCTGCTCCTACAATTTGGCCTTCTTCTAGTGTTTCTGTATGTTCTATTGTATATGTTTCAGGTTAAATGGTTCATGGCATTCTTTATGGTTTTCTCTACAGTGTGCACAACAGCAATGTCCCGACAGCATTTATATTTAAAACTAAGAACCTGTTATTTGTGAAGGTTCTCCACAGCTAAATTACTATGAACATGCCTGTCTCTTTCCACATCATCTCAGAATAAGTTAAGACAGAACTTTCTATTTTATTTGTAAACCATTTAATGTATGTTCTTAACTCAGGGCAAAATGGGTGGGTGGGGAGAGGGAGACCCATACTGCACAGAAAGTTATTTTTATTAACTTCACCAAAAAAAAAAAGGAAAAGCAGAAGCAAACCTTAGGGGTGCTTCTCTTTTTGACAGGAGTCTCAGAACCCAATACAAACAACTGCGCCATCAGGTAGCTTCCGATAGGAACACAGTCTCCTATAATGCAAGCTTCAGAAATGAATACAGCATGCATTAAAACATACAAGCATTTTATATCACTGTCTAGCCAGCAAAAATGCTGTGCTTATGTCACTTCAAGACCACGAAATATGTTATAGCAGGCTTCCTAGGAATGAAGAAATAAGAATGGGATCAGAATACAATACCTCAGCAACATGACCACTCTCGGCTGTTGTTTCAAAATGAATGAAATTAATTGGAGCCATAGTGAGTGTCCTAAATCAATGGTCAGCACAGTTAAAATAACTAAAAGGTCTCCCCACTGGTTGGTCTGTAGCTGATGGATCTCCAGCACTGGTAGGTCTGGGGCAAGGTCTCAGTTATTGCCAAACACCTGTCCTAAGACTAAATGGGGAGGCCCTGCTGAGAAGCAGTGGTGGCCATAGGGACTTCCATTGTGGGGGGAGGGGTGGGCTGCACAGAGGGACCCAACCCCCTCCCCCCAAAACTGGATGCTCACACATGTACAGAATTTCGCACCCGCTCTCCGCCTCAGCCCGTGATGCCTGC